GGGGGGGGGAGTGGGAGGTAATAAAGAGGGCCGGCCGCGATGAATGAATGGATGGATGGATGGATGGATGGATCCGCGACCAGACAGTCCCTGGCCCCCGCCTCCAGGCTCCGGACTGAGATGAGCCGCACGTTGAGAGCGCTGCTTCAGACGGGAAGGGCACAGTCCGGAGTCTCCAGCGGCCTCCACAGCCAAGGGGGCCCCGTGTTCAGCTGCTCCGGAGCCGGTCCCTTCCACCGCTCCCTCCTGTCTTCGGGCTCACTGAGCCGCGGGTTGCGGAAAGTCCAGAAGATGGCACAGAAATAGAGGAAGAAGGCGCTCAGCACCACGAACATCAGGGCGAAGGATTGCGCTGTGGCCTCGGTGACTATGGCCGGGAGAGGCATGGTCCTCAATGCAGGGGGCTGTGGACAGAGAGAGAGAGAGAAGGTTGGGGGTCTGGGGGGTTCGGTTCTGGCCGCACCACTGTCTCGCTGCTGGAGCTGTCGCCCTTCCTACGTCCACTAGGACGGATCTGCAGTCTTGGCACCGGCACAATGTACAGACTGTACTTGTAACCCTCCCTCCAAACCCTTGTGCCAATCACAGAGAGACAGAGAAAATGCCATGTCGGTCCCTCCTGCCACAAGCCCCCTTCTGGCAATTGTACTGTCCAAATGTCTCTTATATATAGTAACTGTACCCGCATCTGCCATTTCCTCTTGCAGTTCATTCCACACAGGAACCACCCCTCTGTGTGAAAAAGATCCCTTTTTAAATTTTTCTCCTCTCACCTGAAACATGTGCCTGAGCTGAAGGGTCTGTTTCCATGCTATATGACTCTATAACACTATAATTCTATTTTGGAATGCAGAACAAGGCTATTGGGCCCATCCTCCTTGCACCTGTTCTACCCCCAAGGGCCAATCTCCTGCCAGTTCACCATTTCCCTGCACCCAAACCAGCCAATGCCCTCAATTGAACATGCCTCCCCGGCATTTCCAGACAGTGCATTCCTAACCACTCTCTGCAGGAAAAGCGTTTGCTTTGTTTGAAGATCATTTTAATTCTATGCCCCTCTCGTTTTTTTATAATCCCGTTTATGAGCAGAAACAGCTTCTCCCTATCTGTGCTGTCCAGCCTTCTATCAGATCTGCCTCTCAGTCTTCTTCTCTCTAAGGACAACAGTTCCAGCATCTTCAATCTATCCTTTTCACTGGAGTTACTCAAGAATTCATTTTTCTGAAGAAGGGTCTAGGCCTGAAACATCAGCTTTCCTGCTCCTCTGATGCTGCTTGGCCTGCTGTGTTCATCCAGCTCTACACCTTGTTATCTCAGATTCTTCAGCATCGGCAGTTCCTACTATCTTCATCAGGATTTTATATGTTTCTATGAGATCCCCCTCCCTCATTCTTCTCAATTCCAGCGAGTATAAGCCCAGTCGATCCAGTCTTTCCTCATATGTCAGTCCTGCCATCCTGGGAATCAGCCTGGTGAACCTTTGCTGGACTCCCTCAATAGCAAGAATGTCCTCCCTCAGACTAGGAGACCAAAACTGCACACAAACTCAAGGTGTGCTCTCACCAAGGCACTGTATAACTGCAGCAAGACACCCTTACTCCAATACTCACATCCTTTCGCTATGAAGCCCAGTGTGCCATTAGCTTTCCTCACTGCCTGCTGCAACTGCATACCAAGGGTGTAGACAGGATAGTGAAGAAGGCATTTGGTACAGTTACCTTTATTAGTCAGTGCTTTGAGTATAGGAGTTGGGAGGTCATGTGGCAGCTGTATAGGACATTAGATAGCCTACTTTTAGAATACCACATTCAGTTCTGGTCTCCCTGCTATAGGAAAAATGTTGTTAAACTTGAAAGGCTGCAGAAAACATTTACAAGGATGTTTCCAGGGTTGGAGGGTTTGAGCTATAGGGAGAAGCTAAATAGGCTGGGTCTACTTTCCCTGGAGTATCAGAGGCTGAGGGATAACCTTATAAGATTTATAAAATCATGAGGAGCATGGACAGGGGGAATAGCCAAAGTCGTATTCCCCAGGATAGGGGAGTCCAAACCTAGAGGGCATAGGTTTAAGGTAAGAGGGGAAAGTTATAAAAGGGACCTAAGGGCCAACTTTTTCACACAGAGGGTGGTGCGTGTATGGAACGAACTGCCAGAGGAAGCTGGTACAATGACTACATTTAAAAGGCATCTGGATGGGTACATGAATAGGAAGGGTTTAGAGGGATATGGGCCAAATACTGGCAAATGAGACTAGATTAATTTAGGCTTTCTGGTCGGCATAGACAAGTTGGACTGAAGGGTCTGTTTCTGCGCTGAACAATTCTATGACTCTAAGAGTTGACCACATCACTGTGGGTCTGGAGTCACATGTAGGCCAGACCAGGTAAGGACAACAGTTTCCTTCCCTAAAGGGCATTAGTGAACCAGATTTATTTTTCCCCCAAACAATTGGCAATAGTTTCATGATCATCATTCATTCCAGATTTTTGTAGAATTCAAGTTCCACCATCTACCATGGCAGGATTTGGATCCAGGTCTCTGGATTAATAATCTAGTGATAATATCACTAAACCATTTCCTCCCTGCGCACATCAACTTGTAAAGATTCTTCTGATGTATGCCTTTAGCAGTTGGTGAGACAAGCAGAGATTCCTTGTAGATCATGGGTGGCACGGTGCCTCAGTGGTTAGCACTGCTGCCTCACAGCACCAGGGACCCAGGTTCAATTCCACCCTCAGGCAACTGTCTGTGTGGAGTTTGCACATTCCCCCCGTGTCTGCCTGGGTTTCCTCTGGGTGCTCTGGTTTCCTCCCACAGTCCAAGATGTGCAGGCTAGGGTGGACTGGCCATGCTAAATTGCCTGTAGTGTTCAGGGGTGTGTAGATTAGGGGGGATGGGGATGGGTCTGGGTGGGATGCTCCAAGGGTTGGTATGGACTTGTTGGGCCAACAGGCCTGTTTCCACACTATAGGGATCCTCTTCCAATGTAGGGCCTGGCCAAAATGGCCATCCACAGGTCCAAACAGCTGGCCATGGAGGGTGGAGTACCTGATTTTCAGCCCCTCTTCTGCTGTTACGTTCATGCTCAGATGTCCACTGGGCATAACAGAGCCCTTTCGAGACTGGTGGGCACTGCAGGGGTTGGGGTGCATCATCAATCTTGAGAAGGTTATTTTGATTGGCTATGTTTCTGTTGCAATTTTGTGCATTTTGCATTGACGGTTATATTTTTGTTACGATACCCCACCAAGGGCTGTTTAACTCGTTCTTTTAAAATAATAGGAAGAATATTGGAGTCACTGTCTTCAGTAAATCATAGTTGTAGGCTACAACATGCATGTGAAATGCACGGTGCTACAGCATCTCAGACTCCCTGAGGGAACTAACACACAACCTATTAGTGTTTTATATATTTTACAAAAATACTGACAGAATAAGAGGAGTCCATTTGGCCCTTTGAACCTGTTCTGGGGCAGCGACACAGTTTGGAGCCTGGTCTGCGGCCTGGTGTGGGACTGCGGCGGCAGCAGCCTGGTTTGGGAGTGCGGCGGCAGTGGCCTGGTGTGGGAGTGTGGCAGCAGCCTGGTGTGGGAGTGCGGCGGCAGCGGCCTGGTGTGGGAGTGCGGCGGCCTGGTGTGGGAGTGCAGCGGCCTGGTGTGAGAGTGCAGCGGCGGCGGCCTGGTGTGGGAGTGCGGCGGCCTGGTGTGGGAGTGCAGCGGCCTGGTGTAAGAGTGCAGCGGCGGCGGCCTGGTGTGGGAGTGCGGCAGCGGCGGCGGCGGCCTGGTGTGGGAGTGCGGCGGCAGTGGCCTGGTGTGGGAGTGTGGCAGCAGCCTGGTGTGGGAGTGCGGTGGCGGCCTGGTGTGGGAGTGCGGCGGCCTGGTGTGGGAGTGTGGCGGCGGCGGCCTGGTGTGGGAGTGCAGCGGCGGCGGCCTGGTGTGGGAGTGCGGCAACAGCGGCCTAGTGTGGGAGTGCAGCGGCAGCGGCCTGGTGTGGGAGTGTGGAGGCAGCCAGCAGTCAGACCACATGGAGAGTCCTCCTGCACTGGTGTGCTGCAGACAGACTTTGGAGAAAAACTGTGATGTTTGCCTTTTTTACTTTGTTTTTTGTCTTTTCTGATCTATGGTCGTACTGTGTATAGCTTAACTTCTCTATTCTGTAACTAAGGATGGTATCTAGGTACCTTTGTACCTAAGATGACACTATAAGTAATGACTTATAAACTTTTCACTGTACTCACTTGAGTACGTGACAATAAAGCTAATTCAATTCAATCCTATAAAAGCATGGCTGATCTGATTTTAACCTCAACTCTATATTCCTGCATGTCTTCCCATAATCTTTCAACACCTTGGTCATCAAACATGTACCTACCTCTGCCTTCAAAATATTTAAAGATTCTACGTCCACTGCCTTTTGAGGGAGGAAATTCAAACTACTCACAACTCCCTGAGAAAAAAAAATTCCACATCTCTGTTTTAAATGGGTGACCCCCTTGTTTTTAAACTATGACCCTTAATTCTAGATTCTTCCAGAAGAGAATTCTCCTGCATCTTCTCCAATTCTGGTCTCTCTGCCTTAGGAAAGATGTTGTGAAACTTGAAAGTGTGCAGAAAAGATTTACAAGGATGTTGCCAGGGTTGGAGGGTTTGAGCTACAGGGAGAGGCTGACTAGGCTGGGGCTATTTTCCCTGCAGTGTCGGAGGCTGAGGGGTGACTTTATAGAGGTTTATAAAATCATGAGGGGCAGGGATATGGTGAATAGCCAAGGTCATTTTCCTAGGGTAGGGCAGTTCAAAACTAGAGGGTATAGGTTTAAGGTGAGACAGGAAAGATTTAAAAGGGGCAACTTTCTCACGCAGAGGGTGGTGCGTGTATGGAATGAGCTGCCAGAGGAAGTGTTGGAGGCTGGTACAATTACAATATTTGAAAGTATCTGGGTGGGGACATGAATAGAGGGATATGGGCCAAATGCTGGCAAATGCAGATCAGTTTAGGATATGTGGTCAGCGCAGATGAGTTGGCCTGACGGGTCTGTTTCTGTGCTGTACAACTCTCTGACATCCAGCTAGTCAAGTCCCCTCAGGATCTTATGTTTTAATTAAGTCACCTTTTCTTCTTCTAAGCTCCAGAGAATACAGGCCTAGTCTGTCCAGCCTTTCCTCATAAAGCAATCCACTTAGTCCAGGTATTAGTCTTGTAAACCTAATTCTGTGCGTAATTAAACTGAACCCAATTAAGAAAATTCTGAACCGAACGCTTCTCAAATGTGCAAATTGCTAAAAAAAAATTGTTGGAACTTGGACAGCACTGGCTGGGAGATTTTTTTTACTGTATTTATTACTCTAATTGTCCTTGAACTGAGCAGCTCGTTTGGCCATTTCAGGGGGTGGTCGATTAAGAGTCAATCCCATCTTTGCAGGCCTGGAGTCACATGTTGGCGAGGCTGGGTAGGGATGGCAGATTTCCTTCCATAAAGGACATTCATGAATGGGATGGTTTATTTATCCTCTGTTAAACCAGCTTTGAATTCCAGATTTGTTTTTGTTGAGATCAAATCTCATCACCTGTCACATTGGGTTCTGAACCCATGTCCCCAGAACGTTAATGAAAATAGAAATTGCAGCATCCATGGAGAGAGAAACAAAGTAGACGCTTTGGGTCCAGTGCCACTTCTTCAGATTAGAACATTAGCCTTGGCATTTGCATTGCTGGTCCTGTGACATTATCAGTAGGAATACTTATTGTATATTTCTTTTGCCATATCAGTTGTTATTGTACAAGGTGATAGTTCCGACAGTGTTAATATGTTAATGGTAGAATTTTACATTCTGTTTAAAAATGGAGGTGTTTCATCTGAATAAATTTCGTCTGTTAAATTTGAATAAGGGGAATCATGAAGACATGAGGCACAAGTTGTTGAAGTGGATTGGGAAACGTCATTCACACCATGGCAGCGCATGGGCAATAAAGTCCAAGATGAAGGGAAGTGATTTTTACTCAAGGATTTATGAATTGGAATTCTCTTCCACAGAAGACTGTGAATGCTCCACCTCTGAATATATGAGGTGAATATATATGTCTGCCTTCCGCAGGGACCGTTCCCTCCGGGACACCCTGGTCCACAGTTCCTTCACCCCAAACACCCCCCCACAGCCCTACGGCACCTTCCCCTGTAACCGGCGAAGGTGCAACACCTGCCCATTTACCTCCTCCCTCCCCACTATCCAAGGGCCCAAACATACCTTCCAGGTGAAGCAACACTTCACCTGCACTTCCCCAGAATCTAGTCTACTGCATTTGCTGCTCACAATGTGGTCTCCTCTACATTGGGGAAACAAAGCGTAGATTTGGCGACTGCTTCGCAGAACAACTACGTTCTCCTCGCAAAAAAAACCCTGAACTATCTGTTGCCTGCCACTTCAATGCACCACCCTGTTCCCTGGCCAACATCTCTGTCTCTGGCTTGCTGCATTGTTCCAGCGAAGCCCAACACAAGCTGGAGGAACAACAGGAGGAACAACGTCAACCTTCCTGCTCCTATGATGCTGCTTGGCCTGCTGTGTTCATCCAGCTCTGCACCTTGATGTCTCGGATTCTCCAGCATCTGCAGTTCCTACTATCTCTGGAGGAACAACACCTCATTTTCCATTTGGGGACCCTTCAGCCCTCCGGACTCAATATTGAGTTCAATAATTTTAGGGCCTAAACTCTCCCATGTCCCAGCCCCCCACCCCACACACCAGGCCTTGTTACTACGTAGCCTGCCATTACACACCCACTGTTGTTAGTCACTAACAGTCCCCATTAACAACTACTCACCCTCCCAGCCTGATCGTTAGCAACTCCTTTGTCTGTCCAACTGTCTTTCTCTCTCTTTGGGCTCTATCCTATTGTTTACTCCCTACCGCACCCACCTCCCTATTTTCTGCGTATAAACTGACATTTTCCCAGCCACTATCAGAGTGAGGAAGGGTCCCCTGACCCGAAACGTTAACTCTGTTTTTTCTTCACAGATGCTGCCAGACCTGCTGAGCTTTTCCAGCAACTTTGTTTTTGTTCCTGATTTACAGCATCTGCAGATCTTTTGGTTTTAAAATATGAGGTGAACTTGATTAGGCCACTATTGGAATACTGCATGCAGTTCTGGTCTCCTTGCTATAGGAAAGATTTTGTGAAACTTGAAAGGGTTCGGAAAAGATTTTCAAGGATGTTGCCGGGGTTGGAGGGTTTGAACTACAGGTTGAGGCTGAATAGGCTGGATAAAAACCAAAAGAACTGCGGATGCTGTAACTCAGGAACAAAAACAAAGTTGCTGGAAAACCTCAGCAGGTCTGGCAGCATCTGTAAAGGAGAAAACAGAGTTAACGTTTCGGGTCCGGTGACCCGATGCTGCCAGACCTGCTGAGCTTTTCCAGCAGCTTTGTTTTTATTCCTGAATAGGCTGGGGCTGTTTTCCCTGGAGCGTCAGAGACTGAGGGGTGACCTTGTAGAGGTTTATAAAACCATGAGGGGCATGGATAGGGTGAATAGCCAAGGTGTTTTTCCCAGAGTGGGGGAGTGTAGGAGTGAAACACCCGAACGGGGACAAAGACTCAGGAGGCAGGCAGGATTCAGGCACATGGCAGTCTTTATTCTTATTCAAGCAACAACTGGTTAATGCAGGGAGAGGGCCAAAGACTTCCCTGAATCTGACCTCGGTGTGAGAACCCAGTTGTTCTCTTAATCTTTGGCTCAGATCGGAAGAGAGATCAATTTCACATTCCGGTGTTCACAGTGAGATAACAATATTTCTGTACATTTTGTGTTATAATAATCACATACAACATGGTTACTGTGTCCTTCCCCTTATTCTATACGTTCGATCCTGTGAACCACCTAATCAATGATGGACACTCCTGTTGACAGCCATAGGTTCCCATTGGGTCTCATGATGTTTAACGGACATTGTAATCTCCAGGCCTTGGGATCTTTCTATTCATCCTATTAATTCATATTCCAAAGTTACTAGCTATACTCCTTCGAATACATCACAGACTTGCTTATCTCTATGGACTGCTTTAATTCTGTTGCCCCTTGTATTCCTTTGCTATCTCTATCAAATTCTGTTACTCATCTTATATCTTCCCACTGTCCTAATTATATATCTAAAAAATACAGAAGACAGTTGGTTCTAATTAACTGCCTTAAGATTTGCAATATTAATTTCTAATATAAAGTTAGTTAAGTGTAAAATTTTATAGCTATCTCTACTGTTAGCACTCTTTAGCTAATAAGTTGCAAGCTGTTTATTTCATACAGGACATGATGTTGTATACTTGTGTTGATAATTACGTTGGAATCTATCTGTGTGATCATCTGAAGAATCTTTAACTAGAACCTATTTCTTAATATTGTAACAATTTTAAGAAAATAAAACTAATTACTGCTAAATAACTTTAGCTGCTGTTTTCACAGCTGTGTGATGAAGTAGGTTGACTGTTTTATGGGCTGAGATATAGTGTCCTTATTTTGACTGATCCTTTTCTCCTAATGGGACAACATCCTTTCATTAACGAGGCTGGAATCAATCACTTTTTATAGTTTAATGAACTTGTTTAATGCTACAGATTTTTACGATCTGCAGTCTCACCAGTTCATCTGTGTTTGTTACAAATTTTCAAACTGGCGGCCCTTGAACACCCTCTTATTGAACTGACCCTGATTGCTGTCTGTGCAAGGCCTCCTCCCAACCCCCCCAAACCCCCTTTTGCCTTGGAGTAACCCCTTTTAAAAGGCACCATAGTTTCACTGAAATGCTGGAGCAGGCATTTAATTCTGTTTATCCCCTTATCAGTCATTTTGTATCTTTCAAATATGAGCCGCTGTGACAGTTAGCCTAAAACTAGAAGTCATAGGTTTAAAGTGAGAGGGGAAAGATATAAAGGGGGGCAACTTTTTCATGCAGAGGGTGGTGCATATATGGAACAAGCTGCCAGAGGAAGTGGTAGAGGCTAGTACAATTACAACATTTAAAAAGCATCTGGATTGGATACATGAAAAGGGTGGGTTTAGAGGGATATGGGCCCAATGCTGGTAAATGAGACTAGATTAATTAAGGATATCTGGTTGGCACAGACCAGTTGGACCAAGGGGTCTATTTCTGTGCCATACAACTCTATGGCTCTTTGAGATAGATTTCTGATCACCAGTGGCATACTAGACTGGGTAAAAGGCATAGAAACATTTAATAAGCCATAATTGTATTGAACAGTGGGGCAACAAGCTGATTGACCTGCTTCTGTTCCTGTGGATATTTTAAATCTATTTACTTTAAAATATATAAAATCTATTTCAATAAAACAAAGAACGGTGGATGCTGGAGATCTGAAACAAACATTGGTGGAGAAGCTTAGCAGGCCTGGGGATAAGGAAAGAGCTAATGATTTTGCGTCCATTATGACTCTTCTTCTGAACTAAAATATATTTATTCTGTTCCGAGTATAAATCCCCTTGCGCTAACTCCACCCCCCCTCCACTCCTTTCTCCTAACCATACTCCACCACACCTTCCCCCTAAACACAAGCCCAACTCTGTTACCCATAACCCCACCCCCTGGCCCCATGCTCATTCCCTTCCCCTATTTTTTTGGAACAAAAACAGAAGTTGCTGGAAAAGCTCAGCAGGGTCTGGCAGCATCTGTGAAGAAAAAAAATCAGTTAACATTTCGGGTCCGGTGACCCTTCCTCAGAACTGTTCTGATCTGAGGAAGAGTCACTGGACCCAAAACGTTAACTCTGAATTTTTTCTTCACAGATGCTGCCAGACCTGCTGAGCTTTTCTACCAAATTCTGTTTTTGTTCCTGATTTACAGCATCCGTAGTCCTTGAGGACCCTATTTTTTTTGGATTTGGTTGCCCTAGGGGCCTCTTACTGCAGGAGGACAACTTTTTGGAGCTCATTCAGTTTTACTGATATCAATTTAACATTAATTTATTCAGTACTTTAACCATTTATACACTTTATTCTGTAATTCACCGGAACCTGGCAACATCATCCACTTTTCACCGTACCTGGGTGCAAGTGACAATGTTAAATACATCCAACCTAACCCCATCAGCACCTTAGACACTCCTCTCCTCCTAACTCCACTTCCGGGCCCCCAAGCCCTTCCCCACCCCGCCTCCCTATGACGTCAGGGCGCACCAAGTGACGCGAGAGATGTGGTGAACGCGCACGCACGGGCGGCCGTTGCGGCGCCCGGGGCGCGCGCGCGTGTGCGTGTCGGGCCGATTGTCCATCGGTGAGGCGCCATCGCACATTCCTGTCAGACTGAGCGGTCACACAGAGAGAGAGTGTGAGGTGGGGAGTTCGTTAGAGCCTTAACCCCAGAGAAAGAACAAAACAAAACAAAACGGAGCCAACCATCAGGACATCCCACAGTATCGTCCGACGGTGTTTTTTTTCCCCCCCGCTCGGGTGTCATCCCCTGAGGAGTTGGGAGGGGAGAAACGGAGAATACTGACCGGATCCAGAGGAGGAGGAGACTAACGGGACATGTCGGAGGACGGGCGGCACTACAGCGGTAAGGAACGAGGCGGTTTAACGGACATCTTGGTTCAAAGCGCCTGACAGACAGATGGGGAGGGAGAGAGAGATAGTAGGAACTGCAGATGCTGGCGAATCCGAGACAACAAGGTGCAGGGCTGGATGAACACAGCAGGCCAAGCAGCATCATAGGAGCAGAGAGGCTGACGTTTCGGGCCTAGACCCTTCATCAGAAAAG